GTATACTTTATTCTTGGCGCAAATGATACACGGTATTTCAAAAACAAGTGGTGACCTTATCACAAACTTTAACATGTAAACTAGTCTATGCAGAAGTTTCAAAGTCAATAGACCATGACTAAGGGATAATGACCAACTCCATGGATATGAGATTTGTCAATGCTTATATAGTTGCATATACGAAATATCAAAGACTTACCATAAGTGGTTCCCCATAAACTCACGGATGTCATTCGGTATATCGAGAGAAATGATCGTGAAAGAATAACTAACGGTGGTCAAGCCCTCAACAAACTCCTTTTAATTTAGACCAAACAAAAAGACTTGAATATAAAAAAAGTTGCATTTTCTATCTTGGACATAAAAAGTTGTAGTTTGGGTGTTAAAACGTCTTACAAAAGAACCAAATAGTCCAAGTCGTCGATCCCTTTGCGGAGTTTTGTAGTTGAATTATATTTTAGGCACTGACCGTTCTTTTCTTTTTAGGGAGCATGGTATTTTTCTCGTGACAAACATTTTTTCCCCGACTTAAAAAAAAACCAAGCTATTTCTCAATAACAAGAAAATTATTACGAAACGCAATGAATAATTCATTTCACCCCTAATATTCAATGCAAACAAAGTTTTTTTGTTCACTTTCCTTCTAATAAGGAATTATACTTTAATTAAATATATATAGAATACTCCCCATCAAAAGATGAATGGTCGGTGTTTTATTGAACTTTTGAAAATTCGCCCTTACAACAAATAAGACAACTGTTGTTAGTAGTATAAAGACATATGAATATGTTAATGATGATAAGGTTAATGTAACCATTTTTTCTTTCATAACACAACATCCAATAAGGGTACGCAATGATGACATCTGAATGGAATAAACGGCATATATATATATATATAAACAAGTCTAAATTGAAAACAACGTTCAAACCTATGATTGCGTTGGATAAAAACCGCAATTTTTATACGTTTGCATGCAAAACAAATTTCTTTGTAGAGGGGTCTAAATACAGCACAAACAACATTTTCCAAAAGACCAAAAAGTGAAAAAGTATATTTTAACAAAACGTATTTGACTAGCAGGTCGAACAACGGATGTTCTAAAACCCTGCTGACTGCCATGGCGATTGTCAAATAAACAGATCACAGATGTAACACAATGGATCTTAATTATTAATTTAATACCAAACAGAAAACAATAAACTTGCGGAAAAGATGGTATACCGCAAACATGATGTGCAAAAATTTGTACACCATATCCGGATTTCGACAATAAATGTCTCTTCGGTGATGTTAGGAATCGAAACGATATTTGGAAGGCCATATAATTTACCTCAATTTGGGATTGACTCTTGAATTTTGAAGAGTCGAAATAGGATGAACGGATCATATAAACCCGAAGGCAAATATAATACAAGCCCAAACGAAAAAATACATGTACACCATATCACCCTTGTTATTATCTATATAGTTATTAATATCATCTTTACATTTCAGTATATCGCAAGACGCCGTACAGAAAAACAAGTTGTTATTTTGCAATTCGCCGTACAGCGCCCTTCAATTCTCCGTATAGTAACTTGAAAATTACATGTGCATATTCTTTTAAAAACATCTTTTTGATAGCAAATTTCAGTAAATATACTAAATATGATGTCACATTATCATAATCTAAAAATTTGTCTGGAAAAAGAATGAATATTTGGCAAGTGGGACGTCGGAGAGCGATTGACCTCGAAATTTTCTTGTACCAAGCGCACAGTTTTGAAGTATTACGCAAAATCTTGTCTTTGTTTGCTACTTATTGGCATAAAAATTAAGCACTATATACATATCAGAAAATCGTTTCATAAGCGGTAACCTCATCAAAACGGTAGAAATGGTTTAAATCAAATGATTTCTAACCTTTTTTTTTCCTCCTTTCTCTCCGCTTCGTTAGTACCCAATTTCCGTTGGCTTTTATACTTTATTTTTTGTTGATGTTTATCATTTGAATTTGTCACAAGTTTCATGTTTTACTTATATATATATGACAATAAAGAATTATATACTGAATAATTTAAATTCTTATCCTTTGACATGGCATTTTCGTATAAAAAACACTGCGTTTTGCCCATGTCTGATGATGACGACTACCAGCTCAAACGAGTGTCTTTCGAATCACTACCCCATCCCCCACCCCATCTTCTGCGCCTTTTATCCAGAAAAAAATACCCAGGTGTGCTTCTTGTTTAAGTTAAATAGTAAAATTCAAATATACATTTTTCATAACTATCGATTAATTCCAGTACGTGGCAAATATGTCATGCATATTCAGGACTAGAACAAATTGACAATTAAAGGACCTTTAATAGTAAGCATTAGCTCGGATTATAGTAACTTTCTCAAAAGTCAATAGAGATCTTCCGCTCATTAAATATGACCATAATTGTATCTAATTAAGGTTTCAATCCAATATGTAATATCTGGTTTTCAGATATTACATATTTGATTGAAACCTTACTTAGATATAAAAGTTTTCTACACAAATTGAGGTCTATATTTATGCCCCTGTTGCTAGGCGAGGGGGCATTAAGTGTTACCCTTGACCGTCCGTCAGTCTGTCTTTTCGCCCGTCCCATTTTTAAATTGCAAAGCTTGAGCAGGGGCATTCGTGTCCTCAGACACTTTCTTCTTTTATTAGTAACTATGATCTTATCCTTTGAAATGGTGAACTAAAAATCAATGAGGAACTTCCTCTCATTACATGCGACATATATCCCAGTAAGGTTGCAATCTGATACTAGTATAAGAATTCGAGTCAAGCATCTTGAAAAAAAGAACCGACAGACGGACAGACGGACTGACATACAGATGAACGGATTGACAGGCAGGAATAAATCTTCATTGCAAGGGATATAATTCATACCATCAGTAAGTAAGAGTCTGCATGGTAGGTACACAAGGATGAACAGCAGGGACTGACACTAGAGATTGATGGCTACTGAGGATGGATACTGGATAGACAGGAAATTTCCCACTAACCCATCAAAGTGTTGTTGCAGCTGTTCTTTAACGTGCAGAGTATATGGAATTCGCCCTTCAAGAAACTTGGGATTTAGAATTTGGTGAAATTATTAACTTCTTTTCTGCAGCAAAATCCCAAAGCAGGATGGATAGTCTTATACTTATTCTACTTAATATTAAAACCCCTTTTTAGTAAAAAATTTGGAATTTTGACTGAAAGTTGCAATATTGCTGTATGAAAAAAAAAGAGGTCAAACACGTATGAATAATTCAAATGTTGTGAAAATCTTTTCATATAAGTTCATCTTACTTTATGTAAACCAATGAACCAAGAAATTTCTAAAGAAAAAATCATAGTTTTTATATGCAACTCCATATTCAACTTTACATGGTTTTCAATATTCATCCTATTTTTTTTTTTTTGCCAAAAGAAGTTTTCATAAAAGTAAAAAAATCATACTATTCTGATTTGAATTCAAAATCACATTTTTTTTTATTTTAGCTCTACTTGTCTTGTGTATGGTCTAAAAATTCATAATGTTGGGATAATTTCAGCTTATTTGGTGTAATCTGGGACCAATATTTATAAATCCAAGGTGTTAATTGATATGACATAATTTTTATTTTTCATAATGTACTAAAGTTTTTGTCATTCTGTGCAAACAATACTTATTTCATGGCATAAAAAGTGCCACAAGCCACAAATATATGAGTATATGCTGCTTATCAAATGTTTCGACTTAAGGTCGCACAACATTCAGCAAACATGATATTCTTCCAGCTTCTACGTTATATGAATTAAAACAAAAAGACATTTTCCCCATTCAGATTAAATTCAGCATTTGTCCTCAACATGCATGAAATATTTGCCACTGGATGTTGAGCAAACATCAACTAATCAATCAATTCAGCATAGTACATATTTAATTAAATAGGAACAAAATTACTGCGGAGATTAATCCGAATGAAATACGACTTTTTTCATTTCCCTCCATGAATACAAAACTATAGTTGTTGGCCACTTTCAGCAACCTTGGCTATATATATATGGCAATCAGTCTATGGTTGGTGGAGGAAGATGGAACTAATACCCGGAGAGAACCACCAATCTTCAGCAGAAAAACTCAGGCAATCCTTGTTAATCAAGATCTGAGTTGAACCCTTGCAATGACCAGGTTTCAGATTTGGATCAAAGTTGAAAGGCCAGTGACTGGTTCCATCAGATGTAAATTGAGATAGAACAAATCATTATTAATAGCCTTAATATGAACAAACAAAAATGTCTAAAATGCAAGCTCAACAGTTAAATACCTCTCATAAAAGTGACCTACTATAATATAAGGGATCTTATGAATACTTCTGAGCATCATACATCAACATTATCATAAACTGTTAACACAGAGATATGCCTCGCCTTTATGTTAGTTTGCTAGTAAAATGCAAATGATGATATTTAACTAGCAAAACTTCAACATGCAAGTTATGCAAAATATTCAAAGTCAAAGAACCATGACTGAAGGCACAGGGCCAAACATTCTCCATGGAAATACGATGTGCCAATGCTAATACAACATACTAAATATCATTGTCCTACCACTAGTTGTTACCCATAAACTGACCTAATCACAAACTAATACATGAAAACTAAGCAAAAGTTTCAAAGTCAGTAGACAATGACCGAGGGGACGGGGCCAAATAATCTCCATGGAAATGAGATGTGCCAATGCTGATACAACTGCATACCAAATATCATTGACCTATCACTAGTAGTGGTTCCCCATAATCAGAAAGTAGGTACCTCACAGATCTGAAAAGCTCTCATGTTTTAACTCATCACTGTCAAGCTTTGACCAAAATGGTAGTCATCCTGTTCAGCAGTTCCTGAAAAAATGTGACGGAAATATTTGCTGGACAAACGGGCAAACCGACAAGGTGAATGCAATATAGCCTTAACTCATCGAGGAGGGATATAATACTAGGACAAGAAGCCATCATTGCTGATTTTCAATATAAACTTTTATTAAGAAATATTATTATTTCAATAACCATACACAAAACGCAAAAAAAAATAACACTTGAATGTTTTGTTAATAAAATATCATGCTCTTACTCCAAATATTGAAAATTAAGAAACAATGTAATTATTTTTTGAAGTACTGGTAATCAAATTCGAAATACTTTACCCTCCTTCTAGATTCATCCAATCTTAATCCAATGGCAGGTTTTAGTAGTTTTATTGAAAATTGGTCATAAGAGATGACTACAATTAGATGAAAGAAGCACCTGCTGTTAGATTGAAACAGAATAAACCTTCACAAAGTCTTGTTCTATCTCTCTATCAAATATGCAAATCAGATGAATTTAAAATATAAAAAGAATTTAATATCCAAAAGATATCATTAAATTTCAAACCAACACATACTGCTATTTCCTATAACTTAGTTTACAGTTTTTACTAACCTGTACGAACTGTGACGCCCGTATATGACACGGAAACCAGGCGTAAAAATTATACTTTATCTGGGCGTCATTGCAGTGTTTAAGGAATGCATGTCCAGGCGGAAACCAGGCGTAAAATTAGGCGTAATATTTAAATGAGTACGCCTGGTCCAGAGAAAACCAGGCGTAATATGCAAATGAGTACGCCTGGTCAATAAATAAACCAGGCGTTATATCCTTACATAATACTACACTTATTTCAAATCAGTGTATTACCCTAGCTGTGTACTTTTGTGTATTTAATGCAAACTTCTGTACTGTTGCTTTAATTTCTCATTATTTGACATAAAACTGGAAATATTAACCATTGAAGAAGCTAATATATAAATAAATACATTTTAGACAGACACTGGCTCAAATAAGTTTAAGTTTAAATAAGAATTATGACAATTAATTTTTCTTGAAATAAAACTTCTGCATTTTGATTAACTAAGTTTTTTATAAATTAATGTCCTTTAAGATATAAATGATAATACTGCAATGTAACTTCATGCAAAAGATTTCAATGTTATTATCCAAGGATAAAGGTTTTGGGATTTCAAAATTACTGTTAGAACTTAAAACTTAATAACTTAGGTAATATACTCACATAATTATTATTTACCATGTATTACTTTCCATTTTGTTCACAATTTTTATTAATCAATTTGATTCCATATTTCCAAATTCTTCCAAAAAGCACAAAACAAGCTAATTATCCCTGAATGTATGAAGCTGCATTAAGTCCAACTCTTGCAAACTAAAACCAAAGAGCCAAATTTTGAAAAAAAATTCCCATGATCCTTTAAACAAAGCATTATGGGTATTATGATTTACCCCATACCAACAGTTTTCCGCCCGTAAGAAAATTTACGCCTTGCTTATTTCAATTTACGCCAGGTTTACCACTTTTTTCTACGCCCGTACGGACTACAAATTTACGTTTCCTGCTCCCTTACACCTGGATCTAGACACGTAACTACCACTTACGCCTGGTTTACGCCTCATTTCCAGGCATAATACGCCTTATAATTTCATACGGGAAGCTCTACAAAATGGCAAATTTTGATTACATCTGATGTGCTCCTATTAATGTCTAATTAATTACCTTTCACCAAAGGAAGCGACCAGAATAAAGAGGTAAATAGGTGTATTCCCTCCCCTTGCCATAAACTTCACCCTATTAGCTCCTCATTCATTACATGGATTTTGCTTTCTGTGTTGAAGGGGTTAACAAATGACATAGATACGCATAGAATAGAACATGACTGTGATGTTTAAAACAATGAGAGCTGATTTATTAAATTTTGATCCATGTCATATTCAAGTGTATATTCTTTGTTCATAGATTCAAGCCATAAAACAAATCAAAGAAAAAGTAGCATCTCAAAATACTATCTTCCGCTTCTAGATTTATCTTATCTAAACCAAATGACAGGTTAATTTTGGCAACTTGTTTGAGACCAGTCTACAAAAAGTTGTAAGAAGTGCCTGCTGTTTGGCTGAAAGAAAATAAACCTCCACAAAATATCTTTCTCTCCCTCACACACACAAGATGTATTAAGTTGTAAGAATACTTTTCGATCCAATACAACTTATAAATTTCAGAAATCCCATACTGCCATTTCCTAGAACTTAGTTTACAGTTTTTTCTTTTTTCTTTTTTTTTCTTTATCTTTTGTTTACATTATTTCTTTACTATTAGCTCTACAAAATGGCAAATTTTGATAATTTAGATATAACATGAAAATTTATGATTTAAATTTTATATTATGTAATATTTTTAGTGTATCCTTTTTAAAAATACAGTTTTCAATACACAATGTAATACTCATCCAAGATTTATCCAATTTATACAAATTGGCAGGTGCTTGATTATTTCAATACAAAAAGTTATAAAGAAGAACCTGCTGTTTTGCTGAAAAAGAATAGACTTTTACATAGTCCTTCTTTCTGTCTTTCATACACTGCAATTCCTCTTAGATTAATCTTGTTTAAACCATAAATACAAACAAACAAAAAAATAGCAGTGACCGTCTATCAGTCAAACAGCTCGTAAAAAATGGAAACAATATTATGAGCTTTAAGGTTGAAACAGGATAAATCTTTACAAGTGAATATTCTAGCAGTGAGCTTTAAAATGAAAAAAATTAATCTTCACAAAACCTAGCTGATCATGACTCTCTCTTTGCCTTTCGCACATTTCATATTTTAAAATTATATTTGACTCTCTATCCTCAATTTTATAATCAATAAATAAAAAAGTTCGTGTGTGTTGATGTCCTTCCTTCATTTTCACCTTTTTTTCAAAATATCCACAATTGGATGCATCAAACATTACCTACAAATGGAATGATAAGTTTTATCACAAGGTTCTTAAAAATAAAACGGAGAAACAGTTTTTCTGTGTCACAATATTTATTCTTCATAATCAGGTTAATCATTGACAGTTAAGATTATGTTTTGCTGCTAAGTTCTTTATTTTTTATACCATTTAGTGTCCAAGATTGAATATCCGTTTACAATGCAAGCCAGGTGGCAAATAATTGGTTTTAAGAAGACGAAAAAGTTTCAAATGGTAAAACTTGACCATTCTGTGGTTTTTGCATAAAAAAATGAATCTTACAGAAAGATCTGAATGTTATTTCAGCCCTACTTGCAAATCTGATTTGATGATATGATATTGTATTTATAAATTAGTCCTGAAGAAAAAAATCTCTATAACTATCTCCCTTGAAATAATTTTCAGCAATGCATTCCCCCCATTTCCTCAGTATGATTGTGTGATGCACACATTTTTACATAATTAGTATATCTTCACATTGATAAGAGTTATTAATGAAAAAAATTCTCTGAGCAATGAGTCCTGTCATGTGTCAATTAGTTTTGAAGCACTGGTAGAAATAAGGCCAATAACTCATCTGAATGCTTTAACAAGGAAATTTTATACAAGAATACAACCAGTCTCTTAACAATGCATTTGTGTAGTGTTTTTGTAATAATGCTGACTTACCTAAACATCAGGTAAATTTATTCCCAATTAAGTTTTCATCTAATAAAGGCACTTTGTGAATACCATGCAGGGCCAGCATTGAATGAAGCTGAAAAAATAAATTATCAAAATGTTTTACTGTTCTGAGATACTTATATTTCTTCAACTTCTAATTGGTAGCATTAGAATATTAATTAGCATATTACTCATTTCTATTCTGGATTTTATTTTCTGTTAAAGTTATCCAATCTGAGCAGCCACTTAAAAATCAGCCTTCATTAAGTGTAACAGTGTTCAAAAGATAATTTTTGAAACAAGAACAATATCCCTAGAATATCGCATCCATTATTGTTATTGGATTTTTTTCCTTATGCATTTTCTCAATATAGTAACAAGAGTGCACTCGCCTTCTTTACTAATCATTGATATTATGTTGATAGTCCTAAATATAAAGCTTTATTACAACTGTCACATAAACTTAACATTAACCAAGAAAACTAAACATTGACCAATGAACCATGAAAATGAGGTCAAGGTCAGATGAACCATGCCAGGCAGGCATGTACAGCTAACAATTCTTCCATTCAACAAATATAGTTGACCTATTGCTTATAGTTTTAAGAAAAACAGACCAAAACACAAAAACTTAACACTGAGCAATGAACTGTGAAAATGAGGTCAAGGTCAAATAAAACCTGCGCCATTGACATATAAATCATAAAATATTTCCATACACCAAATATAGTTGACCTATTGCTTATAGTATTAGAAAAAAAGACCAAAACTCAAAATCTTAACTTTGACCACTGAACCATGAAAATGAGGTCAAGGTCAAATGACACCTGCCAGCTAGATATGTACACCTTACAATCATTCCATACACCAAATATAGTAGACCAATTGCATACAGTATAAGAAAAACAGACAAAAACACAAAAACTTAACTATAACCACTAAACCATGAAAATGAGGTCAAGGTCAGATGACATCTGCCAGTTGGACACATACACCTTACAGTCCTTCCATACACCGAATATACTTGAGCATAATTGCTTATAGTATCTGAGATATGGACTTGACCACCAAAACTTAACCTTGTTCACTGATCCATGAAATGAGGTCGAGGTCAAGTGAAAACTGTCTGACGGGCATGAAGACCTTGCAAGGTAGGCACATACCAAATATAGTTATCCTACTACTTATAATAAGAGAGAATTTAACATTACAAAAAAATGTAAACTTTTTTTTCAAGTAGTCACTGAACCATGAAAATGAGGTCAAGGACATTGGATATGTGACTGACGGAAACTTCGTAACGAGGCATCCATATACAAAGTATGAAGCATCCAGGTTTTCCACCTTCTAAAATATAAAGCTTTTAAGAAGTTAGCTAACGCCGCCGTCGCCGCCGCCACCGGATCACTATCCCTATGTCGAGTTTTCTGCGACAAAAGTCGCAGGCTCGACAAAAATTATGAGAGTTCTAAGGTCCCAGCCAGATACATGACTGGGTCTTATTGATGCATTGACCATTATAAATCAACCTTCTAAAGTATTTTTTTTTAAATTTAAGAAAAGATTACCTCGTGTTTTGCATTGAACCACTTCAGATTTGAGGTAATAATCTCTTGAAAACTTCCTGTTTGCTATTTTCATCCTGAAAAAAAAAATTAGAAAAATATGCTTAAAAGTTAAAACAAATGATATAATTAGAAATGCATATAATCTTAATTTTAATAATAATTTAAAATTTAATTCCTATAACTTAACTCTGAAATATTTCATTCACACTTCTCATTATCAGTGATTGAAAAGTGACAAGCTCTCAAAATCCTAGCTTAAACCCTGCTCATTATTATCATGAAATGGCACTTTTGAGGTAAAACAGTATCAATTTTCCAAGTCCTGCAGCAACATCGAATTAACCTTTTTGTTTAATCTTGGCATCTCAAAAAGAATGGATCAACATTTGTAAATGAAACATACATCACCACGCACATAATTTTTCATAATCCATTAAATGGCAAATCTGCAAAAAGATGACTAAATATGACATGCAAAAAGTTCAATTTAAATGTTTAAAAGATATTACTTTAATTTTGTCTGCTCTTTTAACTTATCAGTTAGCAATGCATTACTGGGAATAATCTAATATAATTTAATCTCTTTAATGTTCACTCAGGCCCTTGCTCTGGTCATGGAGATCTCTTGCTTGGACAACCATCTTTCATAATATTCCATTCCAACTCTTTGCAGTCAGTTGATGTCCACTTGCAAATATTTTATGCATATTCAGGACATTAATTCCAGTAGGTACCTTTTGCAAAATTGGTAAACCAGGATGAAAGGTATAAGATTTAAACTACCATTGAAAAAAGGGGAAACTTGGAGGCAGAAATTCTGTCTTGCAACAGGCAAGCTACATACCCCTCAGAGTTGTTGCCAGGGTTCTTTAATGTGCAGAGATCAATCTCTACTTCACAATCAAATCGGATGTGACTGTATATTAATATTCCATTGCAACAAAAACAGATCCCCTTCAAATAAGATTTACCGCTGGATGGGAGAAGTCCAGATGACCACATATCCCACTGAACCCTTGGGTTTCCCCATTTGAATAAAATTTTATATTAATTAGGGGTTTGGGTATTGCCTCTAAATACCACCTCCCCCCTTTTAACTTTATTTGTATTGGCAATTTATACTCTGTTGTAAAGTTTTCTTTTCTTCAATTTATTTCTCTTTTTAATATATTGTAAATTTCTGCACATAAATGTTAGGTGAAAACCTATCGAGGAATGGACAATTCATTTTTCACTCACATCTTTCTTTGTGTTATTTTATTCTCAGATTTGTTGTACTTTATTTATTGACCAATTAAAATATTATTTTATGATACCTATTAAAATTCTTTGAAGTTTTCCCTCCATCCCAAATATAAACCACACTCTCGATTGGCACTAAAATGAATATCTTACCCTTGCCTTACAAAGCTTCAAAGTCAGCTAGAACACAACCATTAGGTCCAAAAATAATAATACAAAATACAATAATAAATTGTGTGGCCAGGTAAGAAAACTCTACCACTTGCACATAATTGCATTGCATTAAAAGGACAAGATATTAAAATGTTCCAAGAACTGTTGCATCATAATATAAACAAAACACTGCTAGTCATTTTAACAAAATTATTTTTTACTACTATTTAACTTATGAAATTTTGGGGGTTTTTTGGTAGTTCTTTTGGTTTTTTTTTTTCATTTAGTTTTATACTTTTACTTCAAAATTTAACATTAAGGTATTGGGAAAAACTGGATTCAGAATATTTTTTTTTTGTCATCTGCTTGACAATATTTTTTTTCATCAAATTGGGGATCAGAATATGTTTTTAGGAGAAAACCATAACCATGCAAAATAAACCGTGAATTTAAACAACATGGAGTTCAAATTTAACAGTGCATTTCTAACCAGAAAAAAATTTACTATCTGCTCAATTTTAGAAAAAACTTCTATTCTTGATCATGTTTCTCTATATTTTTTTTAGTATAATTTTAAATTCTATAATATGTCAAAATGCATACTCCAAGCAATTCTTAAATGATCATGAAGAGAAGGAAATCTTACACAAAAATATTAAATTTTACAAATAATCTAACAACGTTTTTTTTTAATCTGCTTTAATTTAAGAATTGAATATCTAAAATTTGAGAATACATTTAAACAGAAACCATTAAAGAGCTGCTATCAACACAAAATTCTCTAAATAACATAAATGATAAAAACAAATATGGACAATTAAGGATCTGGACTTTAGTAATGAATAATATGCACTACAATGTTTATATAATTTTGATAAAATTAATTTTGAAATAATTACGAAAAAATTTAAGTGTTACTGAATCAAATGAGACTCCATAGAAAAAACTTTTTAAAACTTAAAACATCATATAAATAAACTTCAGAAATAAATAACTAAGAAACTCTATAAAAACTAAAGACAACATTTCAACTATCAAATACATGTATATGAAACCATTCAAACCAGCAAAATAGCAAGAAAAAGAAAACACAACTTAGAAATGACCAATGAAGTTTAGATATACCAATGATAAAGAAAAAATGTTAGGTCTGTTAGATTGGTGATTAAATGTTAGTATAGAAATGGCTAGTAAGATGTATTTCTGAATTTATTATCTGATATTTATTTGCATTATAACATTTACCCTTGAATAAAAATATTTTTCTGTCAATTTATAATGTAGTGCACATATTCTCCTTTATATAAGGTAATTAATTATGGCCATTAACACCAAAAAATATCTCGATTTTATTTAATTGCTTATTATTCACCATTAACAAATTATTACCCGACATCCAAATAGAGTTTTACATGTACGAGGGCCTGGACATGGTATTGGGAGCATAGGAGAGAGGGGGTGGGAGAAGGGAGAGAGGGGGCGGGAGAAGGGAGAGGGGGCGGGAGGAGGGAGAGAGAGGGGCGGGAGGAGGGAGACTGGATAGTAGGGGGCAGCAATGGAAAACTCCATTTACAAGGTTGTTAAATGTAATATATGCTTTTTTGTACTTCTTTGTTAAATATTTGTTCGTTTTTGTTGTGATTAAGATTGTGACACGGTGTTGACTGCTGTACCCCTATTTTACATTTTTACCTATTATGTCTGTTTGTTTTATTCATGCATCGTTGTCAATATAATGGAATTTGATGCGACTGTCATACAAGTGAGAGGTTTAGCGCTATAAAACCAGGTTCAATCCACCATTTTCTACATTTGAAAATGCCTGTACCAAGTCAGTATTTTTGTGATTTTACTTTTTATAACGTATAGAACAGATCAGAACATATAAAAAGATAAACACTCATAAGAAAAAAATCTTATGTTAACAATATTGGCAAAAACTAGCCAATACTCGAAATTTGCTGGGCTGCGATGATTCTGTATGGCAAAGTTGTCGAAAGTGTAAAAGATGCGTCCGAAACATGCAAAGTGTTGTTATACAAAGAACGAGACCAGCCACTTGAGTTTCATTGTGAACCTTCCCCTTCATCGGTTCCATGTGCTTTTATTTCCGAAAGTTTAAATATTTCTGGTCAAGATATTGGTGCCGTATAAATTATGGACGATGATAAGTTCAATGAACTGAACATTCATGGACACACAGAACATGTTTCTGTCGAAGAATTAAATGAAATCGAAAACGTCTTTGAAGCAGAGCTTGTTGTCTGTAATAATACAAAGACACGTAGTGGAAGAAGAATTGGAACTCCTGAGTATCTGTGGAACTATTATTGATCATTATTAAAGTATATGTCTGGAATGTGTAGCTTTACTCCCCTCAAAATGTTAAGGATCACCTTCGTTTGAAATTGGTTTTTTTTCAGCAGCAACAGTAGACATTTTTTTTTCGAATTGTAACAAAATTCTGCATACCAATGAACTCTTTGGACCGTACGCTATCGGTACACATACATTTAAGAATGTGTTAAAAGGGGAAAGAAAAATAATGCCTGGGTACTACAATAATATAAGGCTCGTAAGGTAACCATTTTTGCCCCATTCAAATTTGACACATTTTTTCTTGTTTTTTCAAAACTGATATAGGGTTAATAACAAAAACTTGAACTATACTTGCCTGACAATTATTTCTTTTCATGGACACCAAGAAAACTGTTCAAAAGGTCGCCAATTTTGATACCCAATTTTCCCCCTAAATATTTCAATATTGTAGTTTTAGAAAAACTCTGTAGTTTTAGAAAAACTCTGTAGATTTACCAAAAAAGTAATTGTTTTTATTATATTTATCATTTGTATTTAGTTCACATGCAAAATATGTATATAAATATGACGTAATGTCTTATCTCTGTAAATATGTTTGTAGTTAATATGAGATTACAATGCAGTTCAATTCATATTTGGTGTTATAAATGGTATGTGCACCCATGTGTGATCATTTGTGTATTCATCATTGCTGTGTATCATTATATGATCCTATATGTCTATTGTCATCCGTCCGTACAATTCGTCACTATAAGCACTAGTCAATAAGAACCAAAAACAACAAGTATACTGTGGGGTCTATACTTAGTGAATGTCTGGAAGTCCTTTCATGTTCAGTATATGCAATCACTTCAAACATTTATACATCCTTGTTGTTTCTGATTCAATTACAGGTTGACAGAACTCTTTTCTTTAGAAACTAAGTACATATAAAAATCACCCTATCTGTCTATCAATGTATCTCTTTTAAGCGCATCTCCTCCTGAACAACCGGATTGATATTGATGAAATATTAACACGAGAAAGTTCTAGATGTTAAAGGGGAGATACTCGTTAATTTTAATATATGGCATTACTAATCTTCTAAGCGAAACTCTTCGAAATTGTCTAAAATGCAGGTTGCGGGTTGCAGATTGCAGGTTGCGGGTTTAAGTATTAGATATACCCCTGAGGGCATTAGCATGAGAGGGTGTATCTAATTTACACAATTTTATGATCAATGTTAAAGGCAGGGTATCCAATTACATTAGGGGGCTCGATGGCCAAGTGGTCTAAGTAGTTACTACTGTAATCTGTAATCACTAGCCAGTCAACACTGAGGTTGTGAGTTCGATGCGGATGCACTCGACTCTTAATTGACTAGGATTGTCAGTTTTCCTATCGAAGGTCGGTGGTTTTCTCCGGGCACTCTGGCTTCATCTACCAATAAAAACTGGCCGCCACGAAATAGCCCAAAAGCGGTGCTTAAAAGTGGTGTTTAAAACACCAAAAATCAAATCAAATTACATTAAACAACATTCTGGTGTAAATAAACTTACACCTAACAATAGAAATCTATCAATTTACATTAATCATAATATCTTTAGATGTAAATGCACTTAATTGGTCTAACACCCTTTATAAGCTTATCTAATACATACGGCACGGTGACTTTCTGTTCGAATAGAGAAAACTTAACAAATATTTGGGTAAAACTTTCAACAAATGCATAGAACATACATACTAAAACATCAACACTTGACACGGTTTCTATATAGTGGTAAAGACTTATTGCCTTTTAAGTAGATGTATATGTATATGTATATCATTGTATATATTTTTAAATAATGGTGTTTCTGGATTTTTTAGCTAAGTTCTATTGCATTCTAAGCAAGGGTCCTTCTCAAAAAGTGTACCTATTTAAAAGTCTTCTTCTCGATTGATGCTCCTTTAAATTTTTACTGCGTTTATACGCTATGATAGATATCTTTGTGTCCCCTGCGTTACGCGTTGCAGGGGACATTGAAATACCGGTCGTCCGTCGTTCTGTCCGTATGTCCGTACGTCCATTTGTCCGTTCTTGTAAGTGCTCTCACGGGTACAATTCTTGCCAGATTTTTATAAAACTTATACTATAGTTTGATATCAGCAATATCTTGGACAAGTTCTTAAATGGTGGACGATCAACTTTTTATTAAAAAAAAAGAGTTATGTCCCTTTTAAATATTAAATTTATGGAAAATGGCCTCGCTAGCGCTCTAACGGGTACAATTCTTGCCAGATTTATATAAAACTTATACAATAGGTTAATATCAGCAATATCTCGAGCAAGTTCTAAAACGGTGGACGATTCTGATTTTTTAAAAAGAGTTATGCCACTTGAAAATATCAAATAAGTGCAACGCGGGGGACATTGGAACGAGTACTCCTTTTTATTGAATATTGTTTTACAATTTTCATCTCTTTGAAAAATCTGCCAATGTTTCTTAATTGCTCTGTTAAGAATTATTACTGTAGGGTTATATATTTAGTTATCAGTGTAAGTGGAATTTCCTTTTTTCTAAAATTATTTGACAGAATACTGCATCTTTTAATCTTGTGTTTCACATCTTTAATGTCTTTTGCAGTTTGAAACTTATCAAAACCTGTATAAGTTTATTTCTCCAAAGTCATGTTTGTTGAGATCAGTTTCGTTGCTATTGTTTCTTATGTGACGAATTGTTACACTTGTTATAACAATTTAAAAAGTATGTCTAGGATGTGCACTTGTAATTGGGAGATACTAATAAGACATGCAACCTGAAATCAAGGACACCACTCGATTTAAAAAGCTCCCCTTTGTACACCTCAGTATATAAGTACGTCACTTCTGTATTGGAGAAATTATACGTAAACTTAATAATCGTGTTTTGTGTCTTTCTGACAAATCATTTTAAAGTTGGGGAGGCCAAAAAGAAATATATTCTCAGAAAATTGCTGTTTAAGCAGCTGAACACACTTCTGTTTTAAAAGTGTTTTTTTTGCTCACCTTGAATAAAGTTTTATAAAAATAAAGTTACAGTTTGACTTGACAGTTGAGAAACCAGATAATTGCTACAGATAACCAAAAGTGCTGAATCACTGAGTAAAGACCGACAAGCAGAGGTGCCCCGTCTGTTTTGGCAAAAAAAAAGGCATATAATTATTTAAAGCTAACAATTTCTCAATATTAGCCTCAAAGATTTTGAATGTCCACTGAAAGGAATTAAATTACTTATGTAACTAGATTAAGAACCTGTTTAGCCTATGTCAATTTGAAGTTTTTATTACTTTTAACTTCACTAGAATCAATGTTTAGAACTATTAATAGCAATTGAGCAGTATGATAAGCATCAAAAGATACATGTATGTGTATTAAAATTATGATTATTGAATTTGAAGATTATGATAAAAAAAAAAGACAAAATTAAATACTGACAACTGATAACTGACAAAATACGTCTACCCTACAGTATGTGTATTGTAAGAAATAATTTGTAAATTTATCAGTCATGGGGTAGATTTTATATGTATTAATTCCCCTAATATGACCTTTTTACATATATAATATTTATATGTGTGATCTGCAACCTGCAACCCGCAACCTGCAACCTGCAAAATAGCACTTCCCAAACTCTTCCTGAATGTTTTATGGATTTTAATGAAATGTATGTCGGAAAAGGTAAGGGAGAGAGAAAAGGGAGAAGGGGGCGGGAGAAGGGAGAAGAGGGGCGGGAGCAGGGAGAAACTTACCCCCCTGTCCAGCCCTCAATAATATACAAAACACACACACTTTTCACCTGACAATCTTATTTTTATCAAATCTTATTACATTCTAAAGCGTACAAAAAGTCTTAAAATGTCTGATTTTAAAGTTTCATGACATCAGAAAAGCACATATGACGTCATACTGGAATCACAGTAATGTATGATATTCATAGGTTTCATAAGTGAGAATTGGATATCGCTTGATATCATCTCTCGTTATTTAATTTAAATAGTAAACTCGCCGAAGGCTTGTTTATTATTATATTGAAATTAAATAACTCGAGTTGATATCAAGCGATATCACATTCTCACTAATGAAACCTATGAATATCATACATTACTGTGATAACGTAAATCTGTAAGCCAACATTTACAAACTAGTAAACTAGACCCATCAAATAATGAAAAAAATACTGTAAATTTGGAAATTTTTCATTCATCTAATTATCACTATTTCACAGTAGACATTGAACCTGAAATAAATTGTACACGAACATTTCTCTGTTCATTTAAAGGAACTGTGGCCATGAAACATTAAAAATAAGTGCAGTGAAGACTTAATTATCAAAACCTTAATCGTCCAAATAGGGAACAACACCTGATAAATTTTTTCTTCTAATATGTATTGTATAAACTTACAGGCTGACATACATCTATCAAGTAAAGGATACTGAAGTTGGCCATCATCTAATACATTTAGAATTTGCAGGCTGGTATATAATTCTTCAAGTATACAAGATGAAAAGCCTGAAAGGAAAAGAACAGTTTGGAAATTACAAGTTTGTATATAATGAACTCTGTGGTAGAATATATCAAAATGTTTATATTATCCAATTAGTTTAACTGTCAAAAGTTAATGTCCTAGCAAGGAATAAAACCTGATGCAAAACAAGTGAAACTGCGAACTACGTACTGCTCACTGATGATACCCCCGCCCAAAAACTTGACGGTAAACAGGAAGTTGTTGAGTAATGAATCTGAAAACAAATCACATGGTATAGCTGACTTATATAAACCCTGAAACCGAATTTTAGAAATCCTTATGATGTAGTTCCTGAGAAAGATGCGACGAAATATATTCTTGGGACAGATGGACGGACTAATGGATGGACGGACGGACAGAGGTAAAACAGTATACCCCCACTTTTTTAAGCGGGAGTATAAAAATGACCTTATATATATATAGCATAACATTACAGGTTGACCATTCATCTGATACATTCAGGATGCAGGCTGGCATATAATCTTGTTTAAGTATTCAAGATAAAAGTTTGAAAAGAAAAGAAGTTTTTTGAAATTATGAGTTTGTATAAAATGCACGTGTCTGTGTGATAGAATAAATCAAAATATTTATGATAATCCAGCAAAATTTACTGTTGAAAAATGGTCCAAACAGGGAACAAAACCTAAGGAAATAAACTGTTGACACAGATATGTCTCGCCTGTTGGCATAAATTTCAGAAAAAGACAATCTGATGGACACTCACTGCAACATGGTTTATTAATTCAGTCACTGGACCATGACCTAGGGGGCAGGGCCTAAAAATAGTCCTCAAACTGATATGCACTGATTCAACAATTGTTAACGCCATTGAAGGAAAAGCAATCCATATGTCTCGCCTTACACGACTTTCATCGCAGGGGAGATAAATTACCTGATATATAAAGTTTAAACATACAGGTTAGCCATCATCTGATAAATTAAGGATGCAGGCTGGCATATAATCTTGTTCAAGTATACAAGATGAAAGTCTGAAAAGAAAATTAGGAACAGTTATGAAATTATAAGTTTGTATAATTAACTTTAAAATCAACATGGCTGAACTCTCTGAATCCATCAAGATATTTATGATAATCCAGAAAAATTAACCAAAAGATATCAAAATGTGTATAACAAATTTGACCATTTATAATTTTTTACACATTTAAAACATATTGGAGAATACATATATATAGTATACTTAATTCTAGTTGTCTCATGCTTCTAACTTTCAATTGAATGATTGTGCAAAACAAAATAGTTTTGTTTTTAAATATAAAATGGATTCAGATTCAGAATAAAAAATCCTTTGAATTTTCATTAAGAGTTCACTAACTTAAGAATGTTAAAGATTTACAGATCAACAAGTCTATCTTATATATTACTGTGATAATGTAAATATGAATGCATGTCGTTTCGTAACCTGGTCGTTTCGTACCTGGTCGATTCGTAACTACGTTGTTTTGTAACTGAGACGTTTCGTACCTGGTGTAATTATATATGGTTATAAAGTGTTAGTTTAAATTAATTAGTTTAAATGAAACAGTTAAAGTTATTATTTAAAAATGATCAAATTGTTCATCTAGTAATATTTTTAATTTAAAAATTTCTTAAATCTTTTTAATTATTGGCTAATTGGCTATTTGGTAATTACGCTCGGTGACAGCTTTAATGGTTTTATGATAACTAATGACAGGTAATAAAAACTAAAAATATAATTATTTTCTCCTTTTTTTCACTTTTACATGCAATTGCATAACCCTTCTCCTTTTTCACCCGGGCTGGGGACCGGCGTTGGCGGAGTTAAAATTTTTTTTTTTTAACTAGCTTGTTAAAGGCAGTAACTGATATGCTCCACTGGCAGGAATGGTAAGGCCATCAACTTACGTAAAAATTTAAAAGTGTTGCCCTTGGAATTGTATGAAACTATCAGGCCAGTCTCTTGGATTTTACGGGAGATGGCTGGACTCCAGTGAAATGCACAACCTTGGACGGGGACAGTTTCATCCGAAGACTGGAAAATTGGATGTTAAGAACGCAATCCGACTTATCAAGTTCTGTCGAAACAAAGCTTCACGGGGTAGGCGGGAGAAAAGTACAGTCATTGAGACATTTTGATCTCCACATAGTGAAGAAATTTAAATCAGACTTTGTTTTCATACAGATTGGAGAGAATGACATCTGTGATAAATTATCTGCATCACACACAGCATCAGAGATTGTACAACTCGCAAAAGATGTCAAGCGCTTAGGTGTACCTTCTGTAGTTATAGGCTCCAACATCGTCAGACTAAAAACAAGAAACATGAAAGAAACAACTTATGATAAAAAAAAAAGAAGATAAATAAAGAACTAAGCAACATAAAGATGAGTGGTGTCAAGTATTGGAGACATCAAAGCACGTGGCAGAAGACTAAATACTTTGATAAAGACGGGGTACATCTAAATGATGATGAACAATTTAAATTCTTTTGTTCTATTCGCATGTGTGAAAAACTGCAGGGGCGGATCCAGGATTTTGGAAAGGGGGGGCGTAGTATTAAAGTTCGCCGAGCGGATCGAGGCGAAAATTTTTTTTGGACCTTTTTTTGGCTAAAAAACATAAGTGTAAAATGCATTTTATAGTTAAAGTGTAGGGGTTGGACATTTTTGGTGCCGTATTCTCTCCATCAATTGTCTATTATGAAATGATTGGATGGATCCAAAGCTATGTACTAATTAATATATTTGATGTGGGATTTGTCAGTAAAAAATGGACATGGAAAATTTTCGTTTATTTATTCAATGAAATTTACAATACGACCGACACGAAGAATGACAAACAAGCAATTTTCATCCAAATGTTTGGTTGATATGTTTTACCCAACAAGGGAAGTGAGGGGTTCCAAATCAACCAAAGGCTACAAATTAGTCGGAAATGACAATGAAGTTGTGAATGACGGTCGACACAACGGAGGCATATAGGCCACACCCAGCAGGCAGGTTGCAGTTGGGCCTTGAAAAAAGTATTCAGTATATCATTTCGGCGAAACAGACATTCCAGTGAGATATGGGATTCACATGCAACCCCCCCCCCCAAAAAAAAAATTACGCCCGTTTTTTATTCATCATGTTCATTTAATGCTAAATAATTCTGTTGAAAATATTTTTTTCTAATAGCAAAAAAGTGGACAAGATTATTGTTTTCAATCCAGATACGGCCAGAATTTTTGTTTAAGGCAAAAATCAGGGTCAGAATTTTTTCTCTAATATATCTCAGACTGCCCCCTCAGATCAAATGGTCCGTACCTTAGACATTAAATCTATATCTAGAGCTTACTGACTGGGGATCACTATTCAGCAATGTTATTAATGGGCTGGGGCGTGTGGGGTTAAACATGTTTTCGTAGGTAAATAATATTGCCGTGGAACTTTTTTTTTCATGAGGGTGTAATAGAGTATTACTTTCTGTTGGGTGGAATTGTGATATAGAAGTCAATACGTTCTTGCTCAATACTTTGTCGCTTTGAAGGTGTCATGCTTGTCATCCTCAGCCTAAGCAATGTGTTACTGTAATTTGAATTTCAAAATGACTGAGTGACGTTTTTATCGACGAACTGGTCAACTCCACCGTAGAGAATCACATGACTTTGACATAATCAATAATATATTACAGTAAATACGAGCGAAAAATATCTTTATAAGTAAAGAATTGTCGCAAAAAAATTAAATACTAGGGAAATGGCAAAGTTCACGATGTCTAGTCTGATTAATCCTTTTACAAAAAAAAAAAAAATGTGCAAGCAAAGGGGCGGGGGGGGGGGGGGGGGGGGGTATGCCCTCTACGCCCCCCTCTGGCACTGAACTGTACTTGTAAAGTTTAAAATTATGTGCAATCAATTATTTAATAAATACATATAGATATATATATATATATACATCAAGAAGTCTTTTTATTATTTTTTATTTACGTAACCTACGACTCATATTGTTATCATATATTGATATAAGGTTACAAAACGTGTCAGGTATAAAACGACCTAGTAAGTTACGAATCGACTAGTTACGAAACGACCAGGTTATGAAACGGCCTGCACCCGTAAATATGTAAGCCAACATTTACAAATCGTAACACTGGATCCATAATATAATAAACAAAGTAAGTTGTAAATCTGGAAATTTTTGTGTGTCCAAACATTTTTTCTTTATCAAAACTCATTGTGACCATGAAACTTTAGAAATAAATGCAGTGAAGATCTATCAAAGTTTAAAGTCCAAACTAGGAACAAAACCTGAAGCAAAAAATAAACTGATGTATAGTGAAAACTTACAGAATCTCTACCTTCATAAATCTGTGGCTTTCTATTGGCTCTTTGACATCATTTGTGTCGATGGAAGATAACAAAATAAAGAATAAGAGTTGATTTAAAACTGATTCTGAACACTTTCACCAAATACTTTTATATAATTCCCATCCTCACCACTGACTTCCCAATGAAGCTGAGTCCTGGTCCTGTTGTGCGAACAAAAATCTGTATAAACTAAGAAAGATAAGAAACAAAACACATTATTAAAAACAATAACATCAATAACATTATAACAGCCAATATACTAATACCTCTTTCCAATGAAGTTAAGTCCTGTTGAATGAATTACAATCTGCAACAACCAAAGATTACAAACAAAACACAGCATAAAAAACAACAACATTATTAATTTATTTAAACATGTGATTGCAAAGTCAAAATTTTCTTAAATTAATTTTGTAAAATAATATTGCAGTCAAAATTTTCTTAAATTTGTAATATTTGTTGTGTGAACTACAATCTGCAACAAAGATAGTCTGATTAAAACCAGCCCCCACTGCAAGTGGATAGTGGGGGCTGGTTTTAATCAGACTGCAATAAAGAAAGATTACGAACAAAACATATCATAAAAAACAATAATATCATTCATTTATTTAAACATGTAATTTG